CTCTGCGGGTATGCACAGCATTTCCTTTTAATCCCTTGTGGAGGAGATCTGCCGAGCTTAAGTTATGCTCAGAAATCCATGCTCTGCATAATACACTGGGGCGCTCGCTTTTACCAACAGAAGTACTGCAAAGGCAAAAAGTAAACAGGGGTTTATCCTCACAGCAAGGCTTGCAGCCTGCGAAAAGGGCGGGCATTTTCCTTCTGTCTGACTCAGACTTTCCAGACTGAAATCTTTTGGTTGCACATTAAAAGTGGCAAATATTGCCAGAATTAGCTTTTTAATTCTGTGCTTTAGAAGAGAGAAAAATTTTACTTTAGGAAAAAAAAAAAAAACAGTTTTTGCATCAGCTGCCTGACTGTCTTGAAGTTGAAATGAACGGGGGAAAAATTCCTTTAATTCAACTGGAAACCATGCTACTCTTGTAATAATCATCGTTACAGTGAAACTTGCAAATGGGTATCTCCCCGGTGCAAAGAGACCATTCATTTCTGCTTTTTTATCTCAATAAACTAGGGCTCCTTCTTGCCTGCCATTGTATTCCAACCAGCACAGCTCCTGGCCGAGGAAAAGCACTCGCTGGTTTGCCAAGACAACATTCTTTTACATGACTAGCTCTTTCCCCTGTAGTTATTAATGTGTCACATATCATAGGCTCAGATTGTCTAATATTATGGGAAAATCTACTAGAAGGAGAGAAAAATAAAGGAAACTTCCAGGGAAATTGATTAAAGGGAAATAAGATATTTGATCCGATTTAGTGGAACAAAATACGGTCAATAATAGAAACTATTTAAATGCCTCAGATGGACACACAGTTCTTTAGTAATAAGTTTTGTTTGTTTTGTTTTTTATTACCTCGGAATATCTATTATAAGAACAAGATTTTAGACTCCTGCTCTTGTGCCAAGTGCAATCGTTTGCATTTTAAGGGATTCATGAGCACAGCTTGGTATCAGCAAACATGGATTATATGAAACAAGAACTGTGAGACATTTTGGGATGGTTTAACCAGGATCCATTAGAATAAAAACTGTGACACAGCACGAATGGTACTCTGAACACTTACGCTCACATCTTGCAGACACTTGCACAAAGCAGTCTTTGGTTGCTGACAGCGTGGAGTAAAACAAGCTGCCTGGCAGGTGCTACTCTGAACTCCCTTCATCGCTGCTCCTTCTCTGCTCCAGGGATGCTTCAGTCCAGGAGTAGAAATACAACTCCAGACATCACTCACTGACCGAGAAATGAGTTTCAGCTCATAGCGAAAGGTAAATCAAAGCAAATGAATACAACTAATGCTACAGAAATTGCCTGAATGGTTTGAAAATAATGATCAGGTCTGCCAAATACCAAAGCCCTCCATGTGTTTGCTGTTATTTGGGCTGTGTTTGAAGGGACAAGTTAATTCAGTAGCCCTTCACGCCTGTGATTCCACCACCTCCTGTGCCAGCAGCTCTGTGCCAGCCCTGCCAGGCCCAGCAAGACCTCACCTACATGAGCGGGCTTATGCCTATGCCTAAAACACACCTGCACAAGCAGGGGGGTATGTTTTGGCATGCGCACCCACAGTCCGGCTAACGGCACCGAGGTGTGCAGGCAGGGAGCAGGGTCAAGGAGCACGCTGCTGCCCGGACCCGTCAGCTGCAGATCCTAGGGACATCTCACGTAGAGCCTGTGGGGCTTGCAGCCATCTCACCGACTTGGCGTGGAGCAACACCCAGGAGAAGGGATTTTTCTCACCCTTCCAGCACCACATCTACAAGACAGTGGCTTTTTATCCCTAAGTAAGTGATGGCCTGTTGCAACAATTATCAGAGGGCTTTCAAATGCCTTTGCCTACTCAGTGGCTTCAGAATGAATCAACAGGCAACAGGAGAAAAAAGCTGCAAGCTGCTGAATGTGCAGGCTTGTCTGGATATGAAGTCCATTTTGAGGCATAACTGATCATTTAACAACATATCACCTCCTTGGTCCTCCCACACAGCTGCCTGGGGAGGAACTTGCTCCGGATGATGCTTTGAACCTGTGAAATCCCCTCCTAAAACCTGTCAAGTGCTGAATGTGACACAGACGAGGTGGAATCAAATTGCCCCATGAAAAGCAGATACTTCACAGTTCTTGCTTCATTGCAGCTAATGATCTGCTGACACCGGTGGGAGTTTTTAGCCGGGATCAGCTTCTGCTGAGGAGAGCACTCAGATATTCTGTTGGTAGCAACAGTGCTCTCGAGGGAACCCCACTGGTAGGGAAATGGCCAGTTATCTCAAAGCTGCTACTTACTAAGACTTTCCCGGTGGGATATTATTAACAGCTACCAGACAGGAGAGATCTTACAGGAGAGTCCCTGAGGATAAGGGTTCCCAGGTGGCCACGGAAAAAAAAAAAAAAAAAAGAAAGAAAAACAAACAAAGAAAAGAAAAAAAGGAGAGAATCCCAGCAGCACATGAAGGTGAGAGGTGGGACACAAGGAGATGTCACGGAGCCCCAACGTGCCCCTTCTCAGCAGGGCACCGGAGCTTACCTGAGACTGAGCTCTGCAACATGTGCACATTGTCTGGGAGAAACTGAGATTATCATCTCTAGTGTGATTTACTCTGCATTACTAACGCTGGCTGAACTAACTAATGTTTTTAACCATCTTCCCAGAACTGGGCTGAGATCAGGAAGTGCTACTGAAATACAAAAATGTTGCTAAATATGCAACGTAACATTCTAAATGGAAGAGGCTTATTGCTCCAGATTACTTCATACTCTGCTTCCACAAGTTCAGAAAAGCACAGTACTTAACATATCTCTCCAAATTGCCAGTATATCCTGTATTCCAAAAATAAAACTTTTTTTTTTCTTGGGAAACAAATACATTTTTTTCTTGAAGGAGCTTTGCTGTCTGCTATGCAGCCAACATTTTCATATTTTAATTATGAAAGATATAAAAATAAGCCACTTATACTGGTATCTCCACTCTTGGCTTTTTTATGCCCCTAAGACTCATTGAAGCAAACATCTCAGAATAAATGCCTAGACATCTTAAACAAGCCTTGCAAATAGCAGTCATTGCCCAGGCAAATTAGGTGTGCACATACAATTCAGAAAAATGTGATCTTATTCTGTAAACCATGACCAGATTTCTGCTTGAATGCTCTTTGGTGATGGGCACAAATACATTGTGCAATTGTGAAAGGGTCTTAGAAATGCCTGGCTAACTCTTTCTGAAAGAGGTATTTACTGTTCCTGTAGGAGAATTCACAGAAGTGGGGTGTTATCTGCAGGGCTCGCTGCGTGACCCAGGGATCATCCGCCCTTTACTCTGGGCTTGAGTTATTTTTCCATACAGTGGATGTAGGAGTTACACCTGGAGTTTCCGCACTGGAGCAACTCCCCATTGCAGGCAGGAATAGGTTCTTTACACTCAGAAAAGAAACTGAGGGAGAAGCCAGGTGATGCTTTGCCACACTTCCCTTCCTATCTAGAGAAGCTGCAGTTTGCTGAATGTTTCCTTTAGCAAATGGGCCTTTGTTTCAGCAGGGACACGTTTGGGGTGGAGGCCACTATTGTTTCAGGCATCTGGTCCCACAAAGGTTCATAACCATTTCCTACAGAGAAAGGTGGTGGCTACTCCCACTATTCTCCCTTCTCCATCATCGTGCTGGAGACTTCACTCAGCTGCTAAAATGCTCTGATAGGTGGTATCTTCTCATAAACATTGCCAAGAATGCATACATATCCATCATTCTCACTTTAGCCTTGCCTTGTTTATTCATTTCTACTTTTCTTTTTTCAAAGCTGCCATCAAAAATTCACTAGTCACACAATTTCTCTTGTTTTCCCATCCACAATTGGCTCCTCTCATATTCTAAGGAGTTGCTATTGAAGTACAGCCTGCATCTCAATAAATAAAACTCACACATGAGGAACTCTTCTATGACTTTCTTCACATGACTTATGGCAAGACAGGTTCTGCTAAAGGGGTGAGTCATTCAGCAAAGGGAGAGGAAAACTGTTCATTATGTATTTCTGAAATCCCCAAACCGCTGAAAAGGCACCATTTACCAACAAAAAGCATCACAGGATGCACATGAACCAGCAAAGTAGGTGGAGCCCTTCCAGAAATGACTGCGACACGGGGGGCACCTCATCAGAGGCCTCTCTTTCTCAGGATCCAGTACGTTAAAATGAGTGGGAGGTGCAGGTTTCTCAGCTTACATGCTTGTAGGATTTGCCCCTCGGAAATCAGAACTGCAAGCTTTCTTCTGTCCCTCAGGGGAATACCAGAACAGCCTGGGGTTTCCCTGCTTCAGCTGCAGCCTCCTGAGCTGCACACCCCTTAGCATCAGTATCTAGAAACAACACTAACCAGGATGTGCCCGAGCCTCAAAATCAAACCTGTTCCTCCATTTCAGTTGTCGTTCCTGCCACAGCTCAGATCCGAGGACTGCGGTCACTCCTTTGGCAGGTAGGACTGGCCACCACACTAGGAGCTGGCCCAGGTTTGAATTTGAAACCTCCAACCACCTGCCAGCTTGTGGATAACAAGTTCTGGTTGTGCCTCCACTCAGAATAAAACCCAGGAAGGCAGGCAGGCAGCTTGCACACTCGTGCACAAACAGGGAGAATGTATATACGTCCCTATTTGCACACCCACGCTGGGTCCCTGCTCCCAGGAAAGACCCGCTAGCCAGAAGGATCCAGCAGCAACACATTAATAAATAAACTTTGCAAAAGTCCCAAAATCCCTCGCTGTCCTCACAAGCTCTAAGCACCGTGGAGAGCCACCTGCCACCAAAACTTGTTTCAGGAAAGGCAGTGCGTACAGGTAAGAGCCACAGGTCACTCCAACCGCGGCACGGACCCAGCCAGTGCAGGAAGCGCGGAGCACCTCGCGTTTCCCTATCTGAGCACGTTGGCTTTGTGTCCCCCCAGAGCCAGCCTGGAGCAGGGGAACAAGACGATCGTTGTTGCAAGAGAGGGAGAAGGAGCAAATCTCAGGGGATACTTACAGCATTCGATGGGGTTTGACGCTGCTTGCAGAGAAATGATCCTGCCGTTGGACTCGGGGATGTGCACACGGAAGACGAGCCGGACGCGGGTGTTCTTCCTGCCGATGTCCGTCTCTCCCTTGCGCAGCTCAATGTCTGCATTCCTCAGCTTCAAAATCCCCGCACAGTCAATGCTGCCAAACACACATGCCATTTAGCTTAACATTTCTGCTCTCAAACAGCTTGGAAATAGGTGACAGTCAAGAGGATTAAACTGTTTTGCTCCGATCTCTCGGTTAAGAGCAGCTCCAAATTTTTATTCTGCTTAGGATCTAGATATGCTTCCCATGGCAGGGGGTGTTGGAACTAGATGACCTTTAAGGTCCTCTCCAACCCAAACCATTCTATGATTCTATGATATTGCCATTTCAGCAGTTACAGGGGAAGAAATCCCACAGGCGCAGCGAGCGAAGGATGCTGCTGGACCCCTCCCCGAAGAGGCTGGGCCCTATGGCTCAGCCTGTCCCAGGCACGTCCCAGCCGAGGGCCAGGGGTGGCTTTTACTCTGGCGACAGCAGAAGCCCCTCTCCAAACATTATAACCCCAAGTCCTATTCCCCTAAGCACAAGAGCGCACACAGCAGCGCCCGCCCCGGCACACCGGGGCAGGGAGAGCGAACCAGAACAAGAAGTCACACTGGGGCAGGCAAAAAGCCCAGCCTGTGCCGGGGCCCTCCACGAGCCAGAGAGCACTACAGCCTCCCCCGCCAGCTCTCCAAACAGCTCAGTGCCCAGAGACCGCACAGCAGCTATTGCCTGCACGTGGGCAAATTAGTTCAGCTCCACGGGGAATCACAGCAGTTGAACCAGCTAATTGCAGGCACCATCCAGGCACGTTTCCCCCACAGTTTGTAATGCAAGCATTGAATTCACGTCCAAAGTAGGAACCAAACTGCTCTCTCCTCCTTTTGGACACGCTAGGTGCTTCTGCTAGAACTGGGCTCTCCAGCCCTGGGCCAGGTCACCATGTCATCCTCCTAGGCCCCAGGATGTCGTTCCCAGCCAAGGCAATAGCCTGGCGGAGCAGATAATGGTTCTCTGCTCCCATTCACGGTGTCCCTGCACAAAGGGAGGATGTAGGGAGCAGGATGGGGCTGAGCAGCAATGAAAGGATGAGGATTGCTTAAGCCAGCATTGCAACTTAATATTGGTGGAGGTTAACTTCTTAAGAGCCCAGTGTAAACTAGCAAACACGCCTGCCTACAGTACAGCCCTGGCCAGAGAACGTGCCAATTAATATTTACAGAATCTAAGATCTTCAGCTCAGCAACAGTCCTTAGCGAGTGCAGTGAGTACTGTTATTAAAAGGGCACTGCCAACCCATTTTGGTATCAGTTTTAAAGACACACCATTTTTCTTCTTTAGATATGAATTAAAATCAATTTTGGGGAGGCAAAAACCCCAAGCTGTTTCCTACACCCACACTGCTCCTTGCCACTGCATGTGTGCAGGGGTTTATTACTCCAGGGCTACTCGTTAGGAACAGACAATCGTGTTCCATTCAGCACTTGGCTGCTTAAGTTTGAGATGGACTTTTATTTATTTCCTTGGGTGCAGAGGGAAGGAGAAGCTTGAAGGGAAGGGAGGAATGAGGTATATTTTCTGGGGAAAAAAAAAAAAAAAGATATGTAAAGAAAGAATGTGGATTTTGCGATGAAGTAGGGGGGCTTAAAAACATAGCTGCTCTGCCAATTTTGTCAGTATCCTCTGAAGGATGGAGATACAGCTCTTCCCTCTGCAGAGCAATCACTCTCATGCTGCCTGGCGCACATTCAAGCCTGAAGTTTCAGACTGGTGCCCACTTCATCCCTCTGCCTCCATAAAACTGGAAGGAGTAATACAGAAAAGATGTGCTGTACTTGCTCTTCTGTCAACCTATTACAACAAAAGACTGCAATTGCATGGCCAGAGCACTTGGCTGAGTTCAGAAGAGATGTTTCCTATTCCATTAAATGTTGAAAAATGAATCATACACCTTTCCTCCACTGCCTACTGCTCCTTGCTTCTCATTGTGTCCCTCCAGCATAAGGACTTGAGATGCAAGTCTTGTTTTCCTTAGTGCTCTACAAAACCATTCTGACTTGGAAGATGACAGATGATTACAATATAGTCACAGCAGCAATAAACACAGTAAAAGCAAAAATGCCTGCGTGGTCAGCTGACAAACAGTAACTCTTTAAGCAGCTTTAACCTAGGTGCTTGTAACTGCTGTTCACGCTTTTGTAAAAAGGGTCTTACACTCATCTATCATCCCGATGCTTTGGAAAGGGGAGTCCCTCCAGAGCAAGCATCATTATTCATTAGTGACTCCTCTCCAAAGAGAAGGGAACTTCACATGACAATTTGGTCCTCCTCAACTTTGCTAATAAAAAGAAATATGCTTACGTTGCTTTCATGTTGTTTTTGGGTTCCAATGGGATCTCTAAAACTTTGGTGTTGCCAATGATTTTTTCATAGCTGGTGGTGGTGACAGTTTTTCCCGTAATGCGATGGACTTGATAGAAAGCATGAGGTTTAAGTATCCGTTCGTCTGCTGTCCCAATGAAGATCTGAAGACCCAAGGGTTTGTTCTCCATGTAACCGTGAAGCTGTCAAGACATTAAAAATCTATTATCACACACAGGACTAGCAATGCCTTCTTGTGAGGAAACAAAAAAAAATCTACAGACATACATACAGATATGGAGATATACATAAACATAAAGATATGCATTGTACAGACTCTTCCCTACTCTCCTCTTAAGAGTATTTGCCACAGTCCATGATACATAGGGAAGGGAGCTAATGGTTATGCAATTAATGGTTATAATACTAAATATATCAAGCAGAAAAAAAAGGATGTGTCAAGAAGAAAAAAATCCAAACAAGCTCTCCACCAGAAATTTGTTGGTTGTCTCCAAAACAGATTGATAAATCCCCCCAAAAGGTAAAATTTTGAGTACACTTCTTTAATTTGCAGAGACTGATTCCTAAATGAGGTTCAAAAGATTTTTCTCGGTGGGGTGGATAAAGCTGCAAAGCTGCGTAGACTCCCTGCACCCGCAGCCTTGGGCAGTGACTTCTGCTTCCCATCAGCAGGGAACACAGCAAGGACAGAAGAAAGTCTCCCACTTGCATTACTGCAGATATACGTGGTATTCCCTTATGCACCTTCTCCAGACCTTATAAAAGCTAATGGAAGATGCTCATGGACACAGGGGGCTTTGAACCAGCCCCTATGTGACGTCCAACCTGCAAACCCTAGTTTCAGTCCAGCCTAACGTTCAGTAAAATGACTTTGCCTCAGCTCAGCTCGTGATTCCTACTTTGACTGCAGTGAAAGAATAAGGGGTTTTTCCCCCTCAAGAGGAAGTATCTGGCAAATGTGTCTGCAATTTTGAGAACTGAAATGTTAAACTATGTATAAACATTTCAGAAATTAATGATCCCTGCCACAGCCCTTTCTGTGGCCTTGGCATGTGCAGTCTTGCCCAGCTCACATCCATTCCAAACCCAGCTCTAAGGATTGTCCTTCCAACCCCTCGCTTTGCTCAAGCCACCCCAAGCTTCACATGTCTCCAGCTTCCCTGGTGTTCCTCACACCAGAGATAAGCTGCCTGACTTCATCTTCAAAGCTCTGCTCTTCTCTTTGCCCTCTCACCTCTCATTTTCTACTCAGTTATTAACATCTATGCCCAAACTTCCCAAATCCAGCCCCAAACACCAGCATCAGCTTAAACGCTCCCAACATTGTGTTTTCTGCCCATCAGCCTCTTCCTACAGGGAGGATGTTCCCCTTAAATATCCACATCTCCACCCCACAAATCTCCATGTCTGCAGAATTCTTAAATAGTCTTAAAAGGAAATATGTTCTTGTTCTTCTGAAATCAATTCTGTGGACTGGCGTTGATTCACTGCTCTTTGAAACTTATCCTTCCCCCAGTTGTTGCTTCACCTTCAGCCATTCCTCTTGCATTGCATTAAAATACTATCTGTACAGGTAGAGGTGGCATTTTTGGTCTGTGACTGTACAGTACCTGGCACAAGGAGGCCTTATTTGAGCTTAGAGACTGGGGCCTCTAGGGTTCAAGGAGTTCAAGGACATAACCAGACTCTTCTGTACTAAATAACATTTTTATAAACAGTATTTGTTGCAAGAGAAGCAAGAAAGCCAGAATGCCTCCATAGACCAGGAGACGAGGAAATTTATTCTTTATTAACATTCAAAATTACAAATCAAACCATTCTAAATTTCTCACATAACCAAAAATGAAAACCAGACATTTATCTACCGCATAGCCAGTGATCTAGCTGAAAGGGAACTTTATGGTCTGAGACATGCTAAATTTGTTTTCAATTATTCTGTCCACATACAAAACCTTGATGAAGCCATACAAAGCAAATAGTGCTGGAAGATCAGAGAAAAGGAAGATTAAGCTAATGGTATTCATGGCCAAACCTTTTTCTTTTTTCTTTTTTCTTTTCACCAGTCAGCGGGAGGTATCTTTGCATAGAAGGATTAATTCCCCCCTGGAAGGGGACCACATGCAGCATCAATGCAATCCTGGCAACCTTCCTTCAGTATGGCAAATGTAAAGCGACACTCACTCTTCTGAGCTATCATTACTCATCTAGCACATATTTGCAAGGCATACAAAGACAGGGTCTATGCCCCAGAGACCTTACAACCCAAGGGCCCGAATTTGCAGCCTCCACTTACATGAATAGCTCCATTGAAGTCAACGGGCCTTAAGTACGCGTTGTGCAAGAAAGAATTAGAGAATCCAGCCCAGCCGCAGCTCAGACACCTACGATAACTCACTCGCACAAGCGCTTCGGGAGACTGTGAGGAGGGAAAATCGGGTACGAGGCTTTGTGCAAACACGCCAGTTGGCTCTGGGAGCGAGGTGGAAGAGGAGTGGAGCTGGACTCCAAGCACAAGGGCTGGTACTGGAGAAACAGCATTGCCAAGAATGTGATACATACAATGGCAGCCATGGGGAGATTTAGAAAGGTACAGAGTGCATACAAGATTAAAGGCGACAGAGGTCAAAATTATAGATCTACTGGGAACAGGCATGAATGTAGGAATCACCCCCTGTTTACCCACAGAGGCCCATTAAACGCAGGTCCTCTGGGAGCTGTACTGAAATTCATCCTCGGTATCATACTTTCAAAATCCAAGATTTCCTGGCCTTCAATGAAAAGCCATTGTATGACCAAAAAACATCTTGTCTTTACAAAGGGAGAGGGAGACGAAAAGAGCAGTTTTTAAGTACTGAGCACGTTTATTGTCATGCCTGACATAGTTATTCTTTGTGGATCCAGCTAAGATGAAAAGAAGATCCTTTGGACTGGAACGGTTATGACAGTGACAGCAAAGCAGCTGTTGCTCTACCCTCTGTCTGGGCAGAACAAAATCCCAGAGTTACAGGTGGGAGACTGGAACGGAGGAAAACAGATAATAAATCACAAAAGATGATTTGCCCCCAGTGAGCACAGCCAGTAGCAGCTGTAACAGAACTGGCTATGCACACAGTTTGTAATACTGGCCACCTTTAAAAGTAATTTTAAGTGGTGTTTCTGCTCATATATAGAATGAGTTCCCAAGTTAAAATTATTCATGGTCTTCTAATAATATGTACATCTGTGGGTGTGTGTCTGTATAAGCATATACAGACTTAAAGAGGAGAGGAATTGATTGTCTGTTCATATGGCAATGTTTGTATCATCTGCTGGATGAGGGGGTATAAAACACATAGTAAAAGACCTTCCGGTCCTCCAACGGGACCAGATTTTAAATCAATTGTTTGATCAATGGAAGAAAGTAACATAATTATTTGGTAATTTATGACATTATGGCAATGCTTTGGGATGACATCACTGTAAAATCAAAATAGCCTTATAAAATGCAAATACAAAGAGAAAAAAAAATCTGTAAGAGTCAAGCATCCAGGTTTCAAAGGCTGTGTCTTTATCTCGAGTTAATTGTTTACATTTAAGGGAAAATATAAGATCACTTACCATGAGCATTTCCATCTACTTTTCACTTGCTAAGAATGCATCAGGATGGCTTAGGAACAAAAAATGAAGATGGAGACAGCCCACAGAACTGCTCCAGCCACTCTAAAATCAGAGTTTCACACCCAGCTCTGCCACCAATTTACTACATAGCTTCAGTCAAGTCATATAACCTCTCTGTTTATCTGTAACCGGGGAACAGTGACACTAACCCTACATTGCAGGGACAGAAATGAGTTAATATTTTGTGCTGTATTTTTATACAGAAAAATTCGTTGTGACTTAGAATGAAAGAACACATCAAGGGTTTGTTTCAGATGTATCTCTCCTCAAAACTGAACTACAAGAGACTGTTAGTCTACTAGCATGTATCACTCCACTATGCTAGGAGCTGCTTTAAGATTTAAGCATAATGCTGACCTTTTCTTTGGCGGAGCAAAGAAGGAGCAAAAGTGACCCTTAAAGAACCCTACAGAGAGATGAAGACTTAAAACATTTTTTAAATAATAACTTTGAAATTCATTTTTTCCTCCCTTAGCAACAACTAAGCCACTCAAAAGTCTCCGTTTTGCAGTCCTACCCTTCTGCTCATCACACGCGAAGGGAGAGGGCAGCTCGCCCAGCAGTCGCCCCAGGGGAGGGCACAAAGCCCTCCAGAGACCAGAACAGAGGACCAGCCCCACACCAAGGTGTTCCCTTACTCTTCTTTCCATGAAGAAAACTAAATCATCCAGATTTCAGTTTCAAGAGAGTGAGAATTGAGAAAGATTTATGAATACAGAACTCTGGGAGGAAATATTTTTGTGTATTATAAGGTGACCCATTCACAATAAAACTCCCCCAAACTGTATACAGATCGAGCTGGAAAAAACCCAACTCCTTTGAGTCACATTTGCCACACGGGGAAAGAGAAGCCAGACATGATGTGTACCTTTCCATACTCTATTTTGGGATTTTAAGATCCTATTTCTTTCAGTTGAAAGATTTTTCTTAAACTTTGCTTTTGCATAACTCTTATAATATTAACATAGCCAGACATGGGCTGGTCTGTGACCTGAGGAAATGCAAAGCACTTTGGCAGATAAACAAATAACATCATTCAGAAAACAAGGAGACTTTTCTTGTTTGGTTTGCTGCTATGATTGAGTTTCTAAACAAAATGGAAATGTGTGGCATGATTAAAATCATCAGCTCGCCTCTGCATAAATAAAATTCATTCATTCTGCACCCCACCCATGGATCAATACCAGTCAAATTTAGGAGAGGGGGGTATTTAAGTGCCATGTTTAGGAAGGCACGTGTGTAATTCTGCATGCAGATGAGCCTTTAGCTGCTGGGTATCAGCAGTCCTGTTACCTGCCTGAACACAATTCCTGTGAGGGTACCGGCAACCCCAGCCATCCAGAACGCACATTAGCCATATGAAACAGCAAATTTTTTTTTCCCGCGGTATTTCAAAACTCAGGTCTTCTTACAAACTGAGCCCCCAGCTCTAAATACACAAGCACTTAGAGCAGAGGTTTGAAATTCAAATCTAGATCAGTCCCTACCCCAGTGTTAAGACGAACCAAACCCTGCGTTTGCGCAG